AGGAGTAGGAGTAAGAGTAGAAGTAGCAGCAGCAGACTCGTAGCCGCAACAACACTTGTTGTTGAGAGTTGCAAGGCCCGGCTGAAGGTCCATTCCTCAAAGCGCTTCCAGCTCTGAAGGCACCGTGTCGCTGGCTGCCCAGTCTTCATCGATGCCCTGGCCGCGAAGGACTTCACGAGGGACCCCTGTTCCGGAGGAGGTTCTGAATAGGATCTTGGTAATCTTGGCCCCAGGGGGACTCAGTAGGCAAGAGTTCCTGATCTTCGAAGCTGATAAACGAAGTCTTCATGTAGAAGACTTCAGAGCAAGCCCGGGCCCTGTCCTTAAGAAGTCAGTTTAGATCAAAACTCTGGCTGACGTGTCTAAGCTTCCTGCTGTGGTGGCGGGCTACGGCTATGCATACATGAAGAGAGAGAGGTCCACGAAGTGGGAGTGCATTGATAATAAAAGAATCTGCGCACTCCAGGCGAAGCAGATTGAGAAGGAGACAGTCATGATGGCACAGATGAAATTGAGTATGAACTTAGACATTGCCTGTTTGTTACATGCATGCAAGGATGCATGCATGCATACACGCATACAGTACATGCACACGTACACGCATGCAAATATGTAGACAAATAGACAGACAGATGTGTACATGTATGTTTATGCATATGCATGTGTACAGATATAGGTATGGTTATTTAGGTATGCAGATGCACGGATGCAAACATCGATTAGATATCTAGCTGTGTAGATCGATGAGAATAAATATATATACATATTACATGCATACATATATAGTAGGCATGTAGATGATTGAATATACAAGCACGTAAAATAAGACGGCCAGGACAGTGACGACACTGTGCGGCTGGCTTTCGAAAGGACTATCAGCAGGGACCGGGCAATTTGGCTGAAATGGGGTTGGGCTCGCAGGGTTTGGGCGGCTCGGCCTCTGTAACTTAAGGTACCTATGAGCCTTGGAGATGCACGCACTGCATTTGTGCAGCTTATGCAAGACATAACAAGCTAAGTGGTTTTGCCAAACAAGGATCTTCCTTCATTACAGTGCAGTGGAGTCTGCGACAATGTTGAAAGAACCTGCTAGAAGCCATTCGGCAAAAAGACATTGCTGCACGCCGTTAACACAAAGGTCTTGTAGCATCACGCAGGTCTGGCAGCAAGCGGTCGCGGCCTCCAATATTGACATCCGGTTCTCCAGCCACCAGCACGACTGCTATCTAGGCTGGGGCCGTACCAGTTACTCTGAGTTTTAGGCATTTTCGGATCCTGATATTCGGTGGTGAGCAGCCCGGGGGACTATCAGACAAGCGGTGTGTCCCTGACAGGGACGCTCGCACATGTGTTCTGTGCCTCGGCAAGAAAACAGATGCAGTTTGATCTGGAGCTTCGTAGCTGCACCATTGCTGTGGCCTGGCATGCATCCGTTTTGTTTGACGCAAAGCAACACTTATGTCACCTGCTTCTCAGGACACGGCTCGGCCGTCCTTTTCCATAGAATGAGGAGAAGCCTAAGCCCTAAACCCTAAACCCTAATACAGGTTTGGGAACCAGGCTCTTGAGCCAACCCGCACTTGTCGAATATCGAACCCCCCTAAACCCTAAAGCCCTGAGACTTCCAAAAGACGCAGGTAATTGCGTGGTTTAGGGTTTAGGGTTTAGGGTTTAGGGTTTAGGGTGGTTTCGCCATTGAGCCCACAGCTCCAGTCCAACCCAAGCGAGCTGAAAGAAGCAGGTCTCACAGAAATCCAATCACTGGCAGCGCGCCCAGCCCAGCCCATCCCAGCCTCAACTAAACAACCTAAAACTTAACAATCCCCAAACCCGAAATCCCTAAACCTTGAGCCCCCAAGCCCTGCAGCTATCGAAGGCCAGCACCTCAACGGCATGGCGGCATCGACCGAAGATGGCGACAAAGGTAGCGAGGACAGCTGAAGCAAGCATCGCCAAGGCTCAAGGTTCAGGTTTAAAGTTTAAATCAAGTTTGAAGCTTTCGACTGGTAGCTGGCATGAAGGCTACAAAGCATTCGCGAAATTGTCAACAGCTCATCCAGCTGGACAAGCGCAGGCTTTTTGCACTGACGCCAAGTGGCATGCTTATTCCACAGAGAGGCTCTTCACATCGAACTAGACTTCATTCGGGATCAGATGTTCCACCTGACTGGGAGCGTGTCGAAAGAACCCAGCAACAACTGCTGCGGAACAGCCCCAAGCCACAAACCCCAACCCCTAAAGCCAAAAAAGCCTTCTGTGCCTCGGAGGAGTGGATGCAGCATTATCTAAAGCTGAATCTGGAGCTCGAGGCAGTCATGCATCTTGGACTTTGCAGAAGCTTTTTTTGCCACCCACCTGCCAACCCTGTAGTCACGAATGTTGTGGGGCACCACGCAGTGGCAAAATGCCGAAAGTTCTCTGTTACGAAGACGTGGCGTTGTCTCCAACCAGGGACAAGCTCAGGTTCCACATGGAGTTGCCCTGGTCGCTGTTCATCCGCTCCCGCTTTCGCTTCGGGCCCTTGCTGACGCGCTTGTCACGCTTCGTCAAGGAGGCGTGGGGCATTTAGGGACCAGGAGTTCACCTCGTTTTCCAGACTTTGGGAATGCATGCATGAATGCTGACACATACACAGGTTTACGTTTCAACCGTGCGGGACCTTGTCATATGAAGACACTGCTGTAGCCGCTGTGAAAGAGGAAGCATCCAAAGCTTTCAGGGGCTCTCATAGTCCTCAGGATCTTGTGGTTCAGTGCCTCGCATGAACACTCACAGCACTTGCGGTCGTCCTACAGGCGCTGGGAGGGATAGGAGATGGCGCAATAAGAAGCCAGCAGAAAGCTCCCAGCCTTTTTCGCTTGGACCCCAAAGCTCTCACCCCAGACGCCTCAACCCCCGAACCTCTGATCCACAAAAATAACGTCAACCCTTACTGTAATTCAAAAAGCCGAAACGCTGAAACAGCTGAAACCCCCAAAAACCTGAAGCCCTGCACCCGGCTTTCTTCCATTAACCCGTTCAGCCAGAGGCCGGCAAGGGCCAACCCAGCAGATGCTTGGTTTAGGGTTTAGGGTTTAGGGTTTAGGGTTTAGGGTTTAGGGTTTAGGGTTTAGGGTTTAGGGTTTAGGGTTGGGTTGAGGATTTAGGGCTCCGGACCCTTCGCACTACATGTTATCCAGCTGAGGGGAGGGGGGGGAGGCGTGTTCTTATAACAGGGATGTCTGGTTCCTACTATGTAGGACCGATATTAGGGTCCCCAATCCTTTTTGAAGGGCCTTCAGGTCTCACATGAACAGCGAAGCTGTGCAGGGGGGTGGTCTCCTATAGCAGCGTCATTCAAACTCCAATGATTATCATGGGTGCTGGTATTGCTGGTATCCTAGTAGTTTCGGTACTTTGTTGTTGACAGGAACAAGGCCCCCAGAAGATCGGAGCGTCTTCGCAAAACTGGCCAGACACTGCCAGCTATCTAATGCGTCCCCTAAAGGCTGCACATCTTCAGAGTTTTCGGTATGTAGCGTTTCTTTGTTAGTTTTCGCTTTTTATGGGCTAGTGAGTTTAGGTTCAGGGTGTTGGGGCCGACTTCTTCACAAAGCTTGGAAGTTTCAGCTTTTCACTAGGACAGTGCAAGGCTTGCACCCCACTGCCTGCATCCCAGATGGGAGTTTCCAAAAATTAGGGTACCTTATTTTCGGGTTCTTATAATAAGGATCCTATTCTTTAGGGTACTGTACTAGGATTCCCTATTTTCGGAAACCCCCCAGATTGAGGAACCTCCACAAGAAGGTGCTGTTGCTGAACATTTTTCTCCCCAGTTTTCCTGCATCTGAGGATGTGATGAGAATGATTGGCCCGAGGACACGGAGCTCCCTGTCGTCACACCCTAAACCCCAGCAGCTCCCAAGGTTAGGTTCGCCAGATGCTTAAATATAGGGACCTTATAGCCTTGATATACTTAGAATTTAGAATTAATTAGACTAGGGCTTGGGGTATATTTATACTACCAAGGTTAGGTTCTTTAGATGCTTAGCAAGTTCCAGGCGGATGCAGGAAGAACTGCTTCGGGCGGCCAAGATTGTAGTGTTATCACTGCACAGAATGCTCGTTGCCCTACACGCGGCTTGGGGGTTGTCACGTGCTGGAGCAGACATCTTCATAACATGGCATCATGAGAACTCACAGCTACACTCCCAAACCTGCCTGAGTATCATTGCAGGTTGCTGACACATGCAGACGAATCGGGGCTGCTCCCGGTGAACATTGCAGAGACGCTCTTCAGCAGCGAAAACCACTTGTGTGCATGTATAGGCGTTTTGCGCAAGCGGATGGGGCTGTGTCCCGGTTGGGGTTGTCAGAACGTAGAGGTAAATGACATGGATGCTTGGAACAGGTTCTGCACATAGTCAGCATCGACCGATGTCCTTCTTGCATGATATACACGGGCAGGTTGACACGCTCACGACTTTAGAAGTAGTGACGGAAAAAGCAAGAAGGAGAGCAAATCAGGCGTGCACAGTTGGTCCCTGCCGGCTTAGGATGTTCATGACGGAGCATGGCCGGCCGAAAGCCTGGGAAGGTGCTCCTACGGCCCAGCGACCCAGAACCCCGGGAGGATCTGTAAAGCCAGACTTGGGAGGGTTGCCTGGACCTTGACTTCGACCTTCTGCTTCGAATTCCTTTCTGCTGAACCGGGATTGTACCGGGGATCCCAACGTCGCTGTTGCATTGAGGAGCGGATTTTGTCCTCAGGAAACATGGTCTGTGCAACTACTCCTACTGCGGCTACTCACTGGTACAAAGATCCATATTGCTACTTGCGGAGCTGTAGGGTCTATCTTTCTCAGACGACGCATTCAGTCATTACTCCTACCAATCACATGGGTCAAGGGACTGCGATGATGCACAAACTGCTTACTGTCGTCGTCGGATGTCTTCTTGCTGCTCTGTCTGTTGACCAGGTTGTTGTTTGCTCTTGATTACCGGCAAGACTTCAATTACTGTAAATGCTGTCAAAGCTTTCGGTACTGTGCCTGGGCACCTACAATGCCGCCCCTTGTCGAGGGCACGGCGCTGAATTCCACGGCCGTTGTCCTTTCAGCGTGGCCGCCGCCGCACTGTTCCTCGCCATTTTGGCCTTCTACCACGCTTCATTTCTGAATGAATATGTTTTTTTGTTTGTATTGCGTTGATGCCTCACAGTAGGGCCATGTTCAGCATCATGAACATATCGTACCAGATATGTGTGCTTGAGGTTTTCGTGCCTAAGCTTTGTGTGTAGTGATTGCGCTTCCGAGTGCAGGGTAGGATGACTTGCCCAGAATTAATCATCAAGCATAGCTCTCACGCATTGTCCGACTTCATCTTTGGTCACCTTGGTCCTTAATGCGTCAGTCAGTGATGGAGATGTCGATTCCCGAACTGCTGTGTGATACCAGCGTCTTGTGACAGCGGCTGCGCAAGATGCTTGCAAATCCTAAGCCAAGCGTTACATGCGTGTCACAAGGTCTCTGACGATTTGGATCCAAGTTGGCCAGGCCTCGCGTGTAAGTCATGCAAGCAGGGGTCGCAGAAATCTTCAACTCCCTGGCTCTTAGTCGGGAATGGAATGGGCTATAGAAGTTATAGGGATTACTACAAAGGACCTTGAGGGACTCCCATAGGGATCCATTCACCCATTCCCTACTTCAGAACCAGGGAGTCAAGCACGGGTGTAATGAGCTGTGCAGAAACGTTGGTATTTTGTGGAGCTTCTGGCACGGGCGAAATGTGGCAAGGCATCCAAGGCTGATGTTGCTGTGCTGGTAAGTGCCGGACTGCATTTTGAAAGCTTTGCCGCTAAAGCACCCTCTGCTTGCTGTGAAGGCCAAAGTGATTCACGGCCAGATTGGACGCGCTGTCGAGCCATTCGATCAGCAAAGTCTTTTCAAGCAACCCCCCGACCCCTTCATACCCTTCAGGATGGGAAGCACATTGCTTATTGCTCCGTTTTGCTGCTATGGTTTGAATGTCTTTGTTATTCTTCTTCGTTCGGCAAGGATGGCGTTGACTTGTTGTCCGTCTGCCCCCTTCCGGCACTGTCAAGTCGTTTGTTCCAAGGTCGATTCTGGATCTCTACATGGTTCCGATGATGAGGGTGACGACCTTGGCTGGATTTGCAGGGCCTCAAATGCAGACCTCTAGTTCATAAACTTCCTTGAACGGCCTAGATATTGTGATCCCAATCATAGTCGCTGTTCGAGGAGGTAGTCTATGAATCAGTGGTCTGCATTGCATTGTGGGCCACGATCAGTTAGGACATGAGGCTTGGTTTTTGTTTCGACCTTGGCCATTAAAACTATGCAGATGGAGCATTTGTGGTTCACGCGCAGTCTCAGAGTTTTTGTGGGATGGTTTGTCTCGGTCAACTGCTGCTCCTGATGTTGTGCAAGGTTCGTGACACAAACTTTTCGGAAATAGGCACGGCTCTCTCAACACAGAACGTAAGGTGCAGGCCTCAACAGCCCTGCGGTGTCCCTGCAATGCCTTCAGGTGTGGGAAGCTCAGACCACGCAGTTCTTCTACGAAGCTCGCCTGGCATGGTAGTCAAGGCCATTGTGAATCTTCAGGAAAGAGTACAGTGGGACGTCTGAAAAGACCTGAGCCCTGGACCCAAAGCCCCATAACCCAGGCGCCACCCCCAATCCTAAAAGTCTGGCCTTAAACCGTAGAAGCCTAAACCCCAAAGCCCGATAAGGCCTTTCAAAGCAGTGATGAATAAAAATCTGAATCCCCAAACCCCAAACCCTGAAAAAAAAAAAAAAGCACCTTAAGAACAAAAGCAAGACGCCTCCCCAGGATGTCTTTGCCAGCCACTGGCGCCTTTGGGATCTCCTGGAGGTCTTAGACAACAACGCCTGGATCACGCAGCAGAAAGCAGGCGACCAGGTAGAAACGTGCACATAGTGTCACATAGACCGGCAAAATGGCTTCTAGCGTAAACATGTAACATATGTATGTATGTACGCATGTATACATGTATGTATGTATGTATGTATGTATGTATGTATGTATGTATGTATGTATGTACGTACACATACATACATATGTACACATACGTGTGTGCATCTTGCTTGGAAGCCTCCTCTACCTATCTGCCCCTGATGCAGAAAACGACGGGCAGCAGCGCCTGGAAGTGCCCGTGGCACCGAAGCGAAGAAGGCAGGAGCTCGTAAAAAAAAAAATCGTGTATGCAGCAGAAGCAATGACACTAAGAAGGGTAATCGTAGACAATCATAAGCGTAGCAATCAGAATGTTATCATGCAATAGCAACTTCGTAGCCATATATGCTTAAGCAGCATCTGACAGACTTGTTCAGTCTAGAAGCATGCGTGCTCCATGGAATAGGTACAACTACAATGCACACCCCATCCCCTCAAGCCCCTTTCACTGCACCCTCAAGTGCCAACCTTTCCTCAGAACACGCCGCACGGGCTTCGCAAGGCGTGTGCTGCGTCCTGCATGGGCGCGGGAAGCGCAGGGTGGGCCACCACAGGCGCCCAAGGGAGAGTACTATAGGGGCCTCAACAATTACCAATAGTATTTTGGGGGTTCCTCATTACAAAGATAGTATAATATTCCCCAAAACCCCATTCTAATTATTAAGGCCCCTATATTACCACCTTTTGACTTGAGGGTGAGTTCGGTTCGACATCGAGGGCCGTATCGTCCTGGTCGCAAAAAGACGAAAGAATCAGTGTGCAACTGCAGCATCGGACGAGGAGACTGGCCTCCTGTTGTTTTTTTGACAGCACGGCGAGAGGCACTTCACAAGAACACGCACATGACGGGAGCGTGCCAGACCCTTCCCAGGTTCTACTGCTCGGTGGGGGCCCCACGACATACCGGCCCCTTGGCAGCTGCCCAGAGAGCATGAAGCCCATGAGCTTGACTCATTGTTTCTCCTTCCCTAACGAGTCCCACGGGGTAACAGGAGCTTCTGCGAGTTGTTCCTGGATATTACATCCTGATCTTGCAAGCCTAGTGCATAGCAGCACCAAGTAGCAACTAGCTTCAAAGGGTCACCCCAGCACGCGCAAATCACGACCAGGTCCCCACATGACTTGCCTGCTTCCCACAAACGCCAGTGCAGAAACCGGATCAAAGCCAATGCAGCGAGCCGGGATCTTCACGAACAATAGAAGCGGCTATGGGTTGGATGATCATGGCATCAATGCTTCTGCAGCAACACGACCTTCCTGAAGTCACACCCTCACAGACAGAAGATCGAAAGTGAGATGAACCCTGATACCCTAAACCCTCAAACGCCGAAAGCCCTAAAGCCCCCACTAAAGCCCTTAGCTGCAAAGCCCCAAACCCAATAAAGCCGAGGTGGACCTCCTTCACGCAGCGTGGCCGCCAACTTGCTCGAGGTCTCCGCCACCTCGGCGCTCGAGGCAGATTCCCAATCGGTGAACTTCTGCATAGGATTGTTTGTGCAAACCGCTTTCTGACTGATGTCTGATGTTAAAAAGGCTTTCAAGAGGATGTTCTAGGGATGTACATAATTCTTAGCTAGACACGGAGTTTTAGTTTGGATTGAAGTATAATGCTGACTCAAGGGGTGGGAGCTCTTTGGCTTTGGGCTTACCTGGAGAATCAGGGACTCAGGAAGGAGACTCTACGCAAAAATAACAAGTACACATAACCCGAAGTTAAGTACGAAAATTGCAACCCCACTTATGCTCTACTTTCTAATCATCCGAGAAGCGAGTTGCGGTGCAGTCTAGGGTTCAGGGTGTTGAGGGCAGGGCTGCCCGAGTGTGAGGGCTCCAGTCTAGGCATCAGTTTGTGAACCGTGTTGTCGGGCCTCCCACATCACGGTGGGATGGCCGTTCTGGTAAAGGTCTTGACAGCATAACATCGCCATACAGCAGGGAGGGTCTCTCAGCCCCAATTCGGAGCAAGTTGCATGTGAGGTGCAGATGCCCGGACTTGGAATGGGAGCTGCAGGCACGGACATTGCTGATTCCAGTGCTGCTTCATCACTGCCACGACCTCCTCCTTCACAATCTAGGTATCCAGGCCGGCGAGTTTTTCTTACGAAGCTTTTATAGTAGTTTCTTACACAGCCATCTTAGTAGCTGGTAGAGTCTTCGGCAGGTCATGGTGCTGGCAGATCGGCAGCCCGTCCGGAGACAACCTTCTGCGCATGACGTGGTGTGGTATCACTTGTCAAGTATAGGGGCCGACTTCCTTCCCCTCCTTATTACGAAGCAGTGCATCTGCTAGCGGGCGAGCATGGTGAGTCCTTGCAGCTCGATCTCTAGTCGGCAACGAGCTGGCTTATGCATGGTACTTTCTGGTGATGCGGCATGCTTGGTACATATCCAACAAGTGGTAACACGTTCACTATTGAGACCAAGGGACCCTGGACTGGCAAAAGGCCGAACCGATGAAGCATCTCCGTCCAAACTTTGTGTGAAACTGAGGCCGAATGTCCCTTCCCGGTACCTGGGTGCCCGATGCCATCATTCACATCAAGTACATGCGACCCTGCTGCATTTTTCTCAGGTTTCCGGTTATTTTGTCGGAGGTACACGACTTCTCAGCGACCCTCATGTGACCTGGAAGATCCAGCCTCTTCAGTTCCAACACAAGCCTATGCAGCAGCATGCCATAGGAGCCCTGTTGGCGGACAGCCTTGCCTGGAAATGCACGGCCCATAGATGGCCCGAGCCCAGGTGTAGCTGTGCAATCTCTCGATGGCGGCAGGCAGTTCATGTCTACGCCGCTTGGATGTTTCTAGAGCCCTTGCCCGAGAAGATCCCAGCTGTTTCGTATCTACGTTGTTTCGGGTTTTATGGAGGGGCGCCGTGAGCATTTTTGAGCTGTTTAGGGGTCTCGCTTTCAATTTCAACCTTGAGAAATTCCTGCGTCACGACTCCGAGGATCCAGTAGATATCGATGGTTGGAGCATGGGCCTCCGCTTGGGCGATCCCTTACTCAGGCGAGTTTTGGGTGGGACTTCCTTGTAGTCAGCTCTTACACATGTGAGGACGGGAAGCTGTGGGACCTTCACAGCCTTCTGGGATTGTAGAGTCTTCAAGCATTGTCATGTGGCGATTCCTGAATTCGAGGATGGTGAGGTTTTTGACGCTGGGCGAGACGAGAGTCTTCAACGTGTAAACTGTCCAAAACGAATGGAGATGCCAAACACAGTGATTAGAAATCTCGCAACAGTCTGGCTTATCAAAGACAGCTGAGCCTGAGAGATTGCTTCGTGGAATGCTGGAAGTGCTCCCGCATTTCAGACAAGCAAGAGTGCCAGGTTTGATGCAATTCTGGCCACTACATCGCTTGGTGTCAGTGACCTGCGACAGTGCCTTGGTGTTCATGATTGCCATGCATTTCGGCAAGTGTCAGCTCTTCTTGCGAACACTGCTGCTGAGCATCTATGTGCATGAACACGACAACCTTGGTTTCAAGCTCGAGTACCTGTCCATGGCCAAGTCTCAGGGATGTCTTGCTGCCAGGCACCCATCACTGCAGGCTGTGGCAAAGAAGCGCGGCAGCAAACTTTCAAGAGTACTTGGCTCCTTTGCAGGCCCGGCACTTTTGAAGACTTTGACTGACGAATGGCAGCATGCACGAGCAGGGCTGCGATCGTTGTGATTCCGTGAGGGAGCTTTCGGATGCAGACCTGGCAGCAAAGGAACCTCTCCATCTTTTGGCTGCCGATTCACCACTCCAACTTTCATGACCTCCGCTCACGCGATCCCGCAGCAGAGGTGCCGGCGCGGTGCACGGGGACCGTTAGGGGTGTCGACGGAGAGTGTTTCTTTCTACCGTGGCGTGTGGCGAAGGCCTGCAAGTATTACCATAGGAAAGAGACCGATGGTACTGATGGCCCCAGTTGTTTCAGTACTTGCCGTTAACAGACTTTGCTGTTGCGACAGATCTCGGAGTCCCTGGGAGACTCCATGATGTTTGCGGATGAAAAAAGCCAGAGACCCCAAAAATCCCAAGCCCGAAACTGGCCTCAGGTGCACGTCGTTGGAACGCACACGGTCCACCGAGACCCGCCGCTCTATGCCCAGCTGCAGCGAACGGTGCGGGAGGCCGGGCCTTCAACTTGGACCCGAGCTCTTTAAATGCAAAAGAATGCTAGAGACGAGACGGGCATCCTGAGAAGGGAGTAGGGCCGGTAGGGTTTAGAGTTTAGGGTTTAGGATGTTCAGGGGTTTAGGGTTTCGACAAGGGAGCCTTACGCCAGACGAAGCCTGTGATGAGATTCTGCACGAAACGTCCTTCAGGTGACTGCTGGCAAGGCTCGCTTCGTCCATCTGAACCCTGCGAAGTCCTTTGCAGCCACTGCAGCTTTGTCCCAACAGAGTGTTTGAGGAAATATTCAGGGAGGGCAACACCTTCCGGAGCCTCATAAGTTTTGGTTGGTCATAAACAGAGTGGGTGTGTTGCTGTCAGCTTCGAGATAAAACCCTGCGGTCTGTTCACAGAAGGCCATGGACCGCAAGCCTCCAACCATCTCAGAATCTCGAGCTAAGGAGGGTCGCATCATCACGCCTCGGCAGATAGACGACCTCTATCAGGAGATTTCATCCTTGGACGTGGCGCCGCTCGGACCGTTAGCTTGAAGAACGGGTGCTGGGCTTCTTGGACTGCTCCTGCTTGGAGGATCGTGGGACTTAGTAAGTACGGTTATAAGTCCCTTAATTGGGGTTATAAGTATAGTTACCCTAGTTATAACCCTACTTACTAAGTCCCATGATCCTTTAAGCACCTGGACAAGGGTTCCAGTGAAAGGCCTCCGGTCAAGGCCGTTTTCACTGCTCGGAGCTGAACTTTAGCAGATCCTGGACCCTAAACCCGAACCTAAACCCTAAACCCTAAAGCGTCTGGTTGTGAGATGAGAGGTGGAGGAAGATCGGCCGGCCAGGCAACAGAATGAAAGAGATCCCTAGGCAAAACTGGATCTAGGCACAACCGCTGGACACTTGCTGTGAATGGGCATCCAGACCAATAGATAAAATGGAGAACTACGGGTGTGTCATGAAGGACGGGTTGCCTGTTGTGCCCTGCTCCTGTTGAGGATCTGCAAGATGTCGGGGTGCCAGAGCAACTGGTGGTTCTGCAGTCGTTGGCGCACCGGACAGCGGTTGGTGCCTTCCCGGCATACTGGGTTCAAGCGGCTTCTGTCGAGGTGAGAAGTTGGGACCCTACACGCTCCAACACCAGCAGCTGGTTCCCCAAGTTGGAGACCATGCTACTGTAGAGGCTTGTTCTGTGTTTCATTGGTGTGCATGTTTTAGATATGCCTTCTCAAGCTAAGTGGAATGTATTGCCTTTCGGAATAGTTGCAATCAATACCACTGATTGGGGCTCTACAAGCCTATTCTTAAGAACGTGGATCCTGAAAGGGACCTGCGCACCACCAGGAACGGAATGTGTTTTCTTAAACCGTATGGTATACCTACCTGAGTTAAGGAATGCTCCATTCAACATTCTATGGACTTTATTACAGCTTGAGGGATCGTTTTGGGACTCTGGCGAAGCTAGAAAATGCCTGCCTATTTTTACCGCCTGTTTCAGGTGAACCTTCTGAGCCTCGGGATTCCGACCATTGCGCCTCGTCCAAATTGGGAGCTTATGAAATAAGGGGTCTCTCCTCCCTCCCTCGTTCCTCGGTTTAGGGTAAAGGTCCCCTTCGAAGGGTCTTATCAGGATGTTGGCGAATTTTATCGTATGCTTCCTGGCGAAGGGTCCTCTAGTCTTCAATTTACGTTATTGAGATCCATTGACTGCCGCAACTCTCATACCCCCATGAGAATCACATAGAGGCCCAATACCTCTTCATGAATACAGAACATACATACCACGCATCAGAATGAGGAGCACACGCCTGACATCAGGAACGTGCCTTAATGCATGAGAAGAATCGCTGTATGATTCAAGGCATTTAACGAGTAGTAGGCTCTCGGCACAGGTGTGGGGCGATGCACGCGGCAATATGGACGTTTTGGAAGGAAGGCGCTGAGCGACACATGGGTTCAATGCCACCATCTGGCCATTGTGCCCACTGGGTTCATCTCCGAGAAACATAGGACAAGGGTCGCCCCGTGCTGAAGACAGCTACTCCCTAGCAACGTACGACTACAGGTCTGGCTACACATGGCACGCACCCACGATTCTTCAGAAGTGGTTTGTTGAAAGCCTTGGATGCTCTTGCAACTTTGCTTGCCTTAGCTTGTCACGCTCTCTGAAACTGTGTGGGATCGATACAGGTTTGTTCTTTCACACATTCCTTCCCACTTGTCTCGGAGCGCAGGTGGCCACCAAGCGACCTTTTCGGTGATGGTAGTGAGTTTGGTGTCCTGGCCGCTTATAGTCACTTCACATTCGCATTATTTTTGCAGTCAGCGTCATGCCCTTGATTTTCTAACAATGCCTCCTCAGCACCAGGCACGCTGCCCCTGCAGTATCCACCTGAGCTTGTCATACGCGGAGACGGGGATGCGCCGCATCCTCGGCCTCGGAGAAGGGAGCGGATTTCGTGTGAGCACTTGGGCTTTGGGGTGTCGCCGGAGATCTGCAAAAGACATAGACTTCCTAAACCCTAAACCGTAATTTAGGGGCCTCAATAATTACCTATATTAATTTTGGTGGCTCCTTATAATAATTACCTATACTATTGTGGGGTTTCCTTATAATAATTACCTATATTATTGTGGGGGCTCCTTATAATAATTACCTATACTATTGTGGGGGCTCCTTATATTAATGATAGTTGCTCTATAGCTTTCGGGATGCCTTCGAGGCTCGGAGCCTTGCGCCTGGTCCTGCAGAACGCGACGCTGCGGGCCCTGGCCAGGGAGCAAGGTCCCTCGCGCGAAGTTCGCGGATTTTGGAGCTGGGATCGAGAAACCCTGATCTTAAGTTCTTCCGTCCTGGCAAGTCTGATCAAATTATCCTACTGTTCCCGAAGAACGTTTTTGCATTTTAAAGGGAGGTCGAAGCGTAGTACGCCCCGACATCGGTGTCGCCTTCCGTTGCAGCCTTGGGTCACAAGTCCCTCACGCGCTGTTGGACAGGTTTGAAGCTGGCCAAGCACTTCACTTTGCAGAAGATCTCCTCCCGCATCGTGCTCAGATTTGGTAAGTCCTCCTCAATTTTGCAAGTAGACGGTTGGCAGTAGCTGCACATGACCTAGAGGATTTCAGGTGGTTATCGCTGAAGCCTTGGCAGCTACCACAATGATATCTGAGGACTAGCCCGAATCCTACGCTTGCTGTTGCGACGGCGGCTGGCAAGAAAGCGCTGGCACTTTGCGAGGAGGCGGGGACGGGTGCGCATGGCACAGGATCTTGGAAGACGCTCAGCGGCTGCAGGAGCCGATGAGGCAGAACTTGGAAACGGCAAGCCCCAAAGAGCAGAGAGCGCAGGCACCGAAGTCCGCACAAAGAGACTCGCCCACAACTTTCAAAGTTGACTTGCAGGGACGTGCTGCTGCCATCGGGCGTGCTTTAGAGAGCGGTTCCTTCCATCAGCACCAGAAGGCCAGGTCGCAGCACCGCTTTGTTCCGGTGTGTTTCCATGCAAGACATGCCGGAAAGGACAAGGAGCCGAGTAGAGGTAAGAATTTTTTTATGTTTGTGTATGTTCGCTACACATGGCTGCCATCAGGCCTCCACGCTGTCTGCAATCCGCTGGAGCAGTCTCGATCGAGCTGACCGGTGCAGCCTGCCACTGTCCACCTCTGGCGGATTCGACCGGCTGGCTGTGTGGGTGCCTGAAGACGACGTCGATGGCCTCGCGGTGGAGAAGATGTCCGAGGCGAGCAGAAGTGCTGGGGACGTTTGCATCAAAAGGCTTGTTGCTTGCTGGACGGTGGCGACGACGCGGCCAAGACACGGCCAAGAGCGGCTGCAAGCCCAGCCTGGCAGTGCCTGACGGGACCGCAGAAAAAAGCGGATGAGGAGATGGTCGTTGATGCCATGCTGGGGTGTGCCTGCTTGCCGTCAGAACTCTTGGCGTCTTGAGTAGAGCGAGACTTGAGGTGATCTTGTTGACGGCAGCTAAGGTTGTTGGAAAGATCAGGGCCAGCCTAGGAGGCAGGGGCATGAACTTGAGGGGCAAGCTTCGGTTGCCAATTCCTGTATACGATATGCTCCATGAGAAACCGTCACAGATTGGTGGACTGAGAAGCTGTGCAGAGACCAGATGTCTCGATGCACCGAACACGAGAACCGTTTGTGCAACAAAGTCAGGAGCAGCGACAATGGAGGAGGATGGCCTCCTGAGCTCCACTGGGGTCCCTTGGATCAGGAGTTTACCCGCTGCTGTCTTGGTAACCTCAGCTCAGGGAGCTACCCCTAAACCCTAAACCCTAAACCCTAAACCCTAAACCCCTACAACTGCTGCAGCTGAGCACCACCTGCGTAAGTCCGGATGCCGAGGCGGCGGGCTCCCCGAGGCGCGCTCGCTTCGATGAGAAGCTGAAATTCCTTCCTGCCGTGCCCTCTGAGTCTCCGGCGCAGAGGGAGCATAGACTTACTCCAGGTTGCGTCTTCTCTGAAAATGATGCTGTGCCCAGGTTGCCTATGTTGTTGTCGCGATGCTACTACTCGCCGGTATCTATTTGCTGCGATCTCAGCTGGCCTGGTTGCACCTATCTTTGCCCCTGTGCAAACTTGATGCAGTGGAGTTCAGGCAGTATCACATCTCCCCGCTTTTGTCCCACACAGCGGCACATCTTCAGGCCTGCCCCAGCCTCAGAAGCGCTGCGCACACAAAGCCATCCTCCTGCCAGATGCCCGATGCTGCGGCGGCAGGAGAGATCAGAGGCCACGAACAAGGGCCAAGGGAAAGAGTCGCTGCGTTTCTGAGCTTCCGCGAGCGCCGCAGGTTTGATCCAGCTGAGCCTCTTCGTGCCAGTCACGGAGCCTCGGCTTGCATCGGACCTGGGGCCGTCATGCGGTTGCAGACAACGGAAACGGAGGAAGCAGAAGGCAAGGAAGGTGACTGCACCGGTATTCTGTGCCAGGCTCTGCTGCTGATTTGCTACGCAACTCGGCCAGGAAAGCGGTTCCAGGTTGTTTGTTGTTCGTGTCAGGCTCTCCTCGGTTCACGTGCAAGTTTGTTACCAAGGTTCGCAGTATTCTCACACATCCGGGCGAGATCCCCGACGATCCGAAGTGGGAGCATCTCGGAGCCTATCAGACGCCGCTTTTTCTTGGGTGCTTGGCAGGCTCAAGGCTGAAGATGCGTGCAGGGGATGTGCTTCTGGATGTCAGAAGTCCATTCGAACTGGTCGGAAAGAAGTTGTGCCCCTAAAGAGGAGTGGAGTGCCAAGCCGGTCCGAGTTGGGCGTTCTCTGTTGGAGCGTTGCATGTCCCGTGCTTTAAGGCAGAAGCGACCGTGTACGAGCATACTGCATTCCTGCTGTTTCAATATAGGGCTGCATGTCTCTTAGCCATGCCTCCCATTCCATTTTTGAATGTTCCACTCAGGTACATGCCCCGGGACAAGCTTGTGGCTCTAGCACCACTCAGCTTGCAGGAAACCAAGAAATCCGGCGAACGCAGGCGCAATGCGACATGAGACAAAGATACATTAAGAAAGAGCACGGTCTGCAGTTCACGTCCTTCCATGTGCTCGGGGCGATTCAGAAGCCTTTAAGCATGGTTCGACTTCGAGCGCGAGGCATTGCAAGTGGTGCGGCAAGTACAAGCCAGACAGATGCCATCATTGCCGAGTCTGTCGTCCCGCAGTTGCAAGAAGTCCTTTTGGACAGGTTACATGCACGACGCATGAGGAGTTGGGTAGAACATGCGAAGACACCGACTTTCTGCAATTCAGCTTTGGGGGTGGGCTTACCACCCCACGATCCCTAAGCCTCAGACACCCTTTCGCTATCCGCTCGGAATCTGACCGGCTGCGATTGAATCGTACTTACACATCTTGTTCCTCTCTGTTTAAGCCGGTATCAGGATCTGTTTTGCTCAATCCTTCTGAGCGTATTGTTCGAACACGATGAAAGCCTTTGTCACCATATTATATGTTGTTGACGTCGGGGTTCATCTTGAAAATATTTCCTTAATTAAAGTCGGGTGTTCAATGGTTCCGTACACCAAAGTCGAAAAGTCTTCTTATTCAGCCCTGAAAGGTCAAGACCCAAACGATGCAAAACCGTGTTAAAGGCGTCTCCCGCTTGAATCTGCATTGAGTCCGAATTGAATTCTACAAAGCCCAGACAAAGGCAAAGTGCAACTCTCTCACAGTCAAGCTTGACCAAAGTTTACTACAGATACTCCACTAAGTCCGTAGAGGATCCAAGCGACACCCCAGTCAAAACCCGCTTCAAGCAATGTATACAAGTTTTGGTGATGCAGCAACCCAATTAAGACACAATGACACTCTCATTGAAGCCGCATCAGATCTGTACAAACTGAGGTTCAACCCATCCCGCATGGTAAGCTGCGTGTGCAATCTATGTAAAGACCTTCTTGTCCTTCACCCACTCAGCACATGTGGAAGCACCACTATACCGCTGTATGAGAGCTGGTGTGTGGAGCTCTTGTACTCGATGTGAAACTTGAAAACATCCGATGAAGCATTCAACCCTCAATTCGAGCGATCCTGGACCCTCTCTCGGATGCCAGTAGGTCTCTCGCTACATCGTTTTGCGAGCTCATATAACAAGCTTACATATTACAAACATGCTGTGAATCTTGTGTCAGCATGTGCAAACCCTTAAGATTAAGAAAGCCCTGTTCGCCCCGAGCCCGAGGATTTCAGCCTCATAATTTGCAAAGGCTATGTATGGCACGAAACAGTCGCTTCGGAGGAAAGGGTGCTTGAGTCCGGTCGATCCTGAAAGTTTTTGAAAACCGCGAGTTGAGGCGGAGAGGAGCACAAGAGCAAATCAGGCCCCAGAAAGAAACAGGCATGAATCCTTTTGCACGTCGTGCTCGAATGCACACGGCAGTCTTCGAAAACGTAGCACTGCGAGCTTGGTTTCAGTTCTTTGCTGTTCGCTGCTGAAAATATCTTTTAGGCGGCAAGCTTGATTACAGCACCTTACCAGATCAACTACGGTTCTGCATCTTGATTGTTCAGCAGATGCGGACAGCCAGGCACATGCATTTTGAAGATGGATCACCACTGCCCATGGATCTACAACTGCGTGGGCTGCTTCAATTACAAGTTCTTCATTCTGCTCCTCTTCTACTCTGACCCTGGCCCTGCAGTTAGTCCTGCAGCGCTGAGCGCTGGTGCGCGGGATGTGTGCTCACTTACTCTAGACATGTCATCGCAGCAGGAAGCTGACCTTGTAAATGTTTGAGGGCAAGACGACGTAGCTGCCAAGGCACTGGACTGTCACCTGATTGTATGGTCCATGAGCGAGTCCGTCCTCCGCTGTGTGAACATCGAGGAGACACCCTTCAAAGAGATGTGACCCGGTGATGACTATGACTTTCGCAATGCCTGTCGTACGTTAGCCATAATGTGTTGGAAAGGGAGTCTGACCCGTTGGGCTGGAGCCGCTTGCCGAAGCATGCTGCAAGAAGGTGACAGAAAGTTGTCTGAAGCTCCCAAGCAGCTAGCGCAAGAGCCCCAAACGGTGTCGCGTCCACTGGGACGAGAAGGGCAGAGGACTGAGCTCTGGCCACCGTGGAGACTGGAGGCACCAGTCCTCACAGCCTGGAGCCGAGGTTCATGATTCTATTTGGGGAGTGCCTCGCGAATCTCGTTCTGCATTGATGGTTCCGCTTCCAGAGTGAAAGAGCCGCGCTTTGTGCCTGCCTTTCTCCAGTTGTTGTGTGAAGACTCAGGCTCATCCTCGCATTGCTAGCCATGGCCTCAGTTCGTACATTGCTGAATGCTTCTGCTGCCCAACTGTCGTACTCTCGAGGTTACTGCCTTCTTGGCCATGCACTTGTGGCATGAACCCTAGAAGTTCGTGCAAGAGTTGTCGCATCCAGCTGCTGGCGTGGCCCACCTTGTTGAGGGCATGCCTTATTGTGCAGATCTTCGTGTTTGAGGCTCATTTCCAAGGGATTGACCACCATCGAATTCTGTGAGAAATCGCTGCCGAAGGCCACTTTGCATGCAGCACTCCGTTCAACACATGCTTCTGCGTTCGGAATGGATTGCCGGGTGTCGTCAAAGACGATGCGTTTTATCATCACTCCGTTCAACATATGCTTCTGCGTTCGGAATGGATTGCCGGGTGTCGTCAAAGACGATGCGTTTTATCATCATCAGTCGTTCAACTTTCTCGAAACTGCGCAAAGGTGAATGCGGTAGAAGCGTACAAAACAGCCTCCTAAGATAGGACTTCCTGTCGGGTAGCTGCAGCGCAGTAGGCACCTACCTGGTCCGAGTTTGTGCTCAGTGCATGTCGAAGGATGGCCAGCCTGCTGAACGAAGCCTCACATCTGTGTTCAGACCTCAGTTCTCCTAGTACTCGAGATGGCCCATGCGCATCCAAATCTGGAGCGCGCATGTCCGTTCTTTGATTTCAAGGTATGATCTGGGTCTTTACGGCAATTTCTGCACGGTCCTGGGCAGCAGTGCCACTGCCTCAAAGCGCAATGACGACTTGCAGTTCAAAAGAACAGCAGATTTTGTTCATCAGACCTGGCAGACTTCCGAAAAAACCTTCTGCAGCTCCAGGTGTCCATCTGGCTGCTCCCTATCGGAATGCCGGATGGCGACGGGATCACCTTCGTCTGCGACGAAACTTGTCTCACCAAGGACTTGAGAAACTTGTTCTACAACACTGCTGGCCAAGAGCACGCACTCCGATGCTTGAGACGGATGATTTGAAAGTTGAATTTCAAGGGTTAGGAGGCCAAGAAAATCAGATTTGGGACTACCTCTGCTGCAGCCGAGTTTAGTCCGGCAATAGGTGTCCCAAGCACTTTTCACTTCGAGCGCAGCACTCGGT